ATATAATACAAAAAGCAAGATAAAGATGATAACTATAGTCAAATAAAACTTCACAAAAAATCTATAATAATAAAAGCATAATATGCCAATTAGACTGGACGTCCTTATGGATGAAACCAGGGCTGCAGGGAGGCCCCGGTCCCGGATGCCAGCGGGAAGCCAGTGCTGGCAGTTTCTAGTAATAACAATAAAAGAGTAGCTCCATAACTTGAGTGTTATTTATTCTGCATTATGAGCATTAAATCATAGCTATGATTTAGGAAATGCACATACGTGTGCATGAATGCTTGCATGCATGTGTTCACACACACAAATCTGAGTTGCCAAATAGATGATAGGACTCAGGGCACTTGCTGGCCCTAATTATTTGCTCTCATTCTAGATCAGATTCAAAATATTTGATTTTCTGACTTTCCAGCAGAAAAACATTTTGAAAGCATCAAATCAGATGCTGTATGGTAAAAACAGAGCAAGAACGGCATTTGAAACTGAGACAGAATATTATTGTTAAAAAATTAACATTTGCTCAAATATAATAGTCTGTAACCAGTTGAAATAGGTGTGAATGCTCCTTTTCTATTTTTAATAATATTAAATATATTGAACTTTTATGTTAAGATATATAACCAACACATTATATAAGTTATATGCAATAATTTTTTGTAGTTTTGGTCATTTAAAAACTTCAAGCACAAGATCTGTACAGTTTCAACAGAGGAATTTGATCTACTTTATAAAACTTTTTTTTTTTTTTATCAAATTGAGGTTCAAATAGTGTTGAAAGTAGATATCCAGGCAGGATTATCTTATAAACAGTGTCCAGGAGGCCATATGCAACTGAAAACTTTTCTGAGTAGACACTTGGGGTTAGGGCTGACTTAACCCCAGCTCCCCAGCTATAATGTCTAGCTTCTTTTATGGACTAGTTGTTTGAATGATCAGAACCCTATAAAATGGGGATAATAAAACCCACCTTATAGAATTACTGTGATGATTAAATGACAATTACATACACCAGAAAACATTCAACAATTGATACAGGGTGTAGACATATTATTCATCTATTATGTTTTATACCTTTGAGAAAATATTATTAGGTAAGATTTGGTTTTAAAGACAAGACAGACATACCATCTATCGTCTATGTTTTGATTATCTTTAAATGTGTTTAAAAACAACATTGAAATATAAATAAAGAAAGTACTAAATTAGGGAAAAAATAAGTTATTTTTCCTTCAAAGGCCCCACCTCCCAATATCATCATCTTGGGCATTAGGATGTAACATGAATTTGGGAGTGGAGGAGCAGGGAGTACAAACATTCAAATCATGTCAGCTGTCATAAATCAATATGAAAATTAGAGATGTTTAGACAAATCATCCAATTATTTGGTCTTCATTTTGTTAAGCATTCAAATAATTATAAACATCCAGATGATTTATAAACATTTTTATATTTTATTTTTGTATTTTTTTTGTTTTGTTTTGTTTTGTTTTGTTGTGAACTTACCGGGTAATGTATTCTGTAAATAGGAAACATAAAAAATAGAGACCATGAAATATATTTAATTAACAAGGTATACTCATTTCCTTAGAGTTTCAATTACAACATTCAGTCTTTTTAATAATACTTATTTTATTAAGTGATTTAATGGAATTTCCCTAAAAATTAAAAGAAATGATAAATTAATATAAAGAAGGGACACAATATACACAGAAAGATCTATGGTAGTAAAATGAGTGATTTATTTTAGCTTTTTTTTTTTTTTTTTGGTTATTTAGTTGCGTATGTAGTACATCCAGCACATTTAACTAACCGTTTTTTTTCTCTTTCCCAACAGATTAAAAATATACTAATTCAAGAATTTTAAAATACAGTGGAACAGCATAACAACTGTCTATGTGCTTCCCATGATATGGTCTCTATATTGTAAGTATATATATTTATATTCCCAAGCTACCTTGATTGTGAAAGAAATGTGTTCAATTAAGACTTATAGATAACTTTGATTGTTTCAGAAAAGTACAAGCTATAACTCATCCAAAATATAGAATAGTTTTAGAAGGTTATCTTATATGAAGATGTGTTCTGCAAATTTAGATCTAACTTATATTAAAGTTAAACCTTAATATAATTGTCATGCTAGATTAATATACCCATTATGATAGACTTTTAAAAATAAATATTATACTTAATATGCTGAAGATTTTTATACTGCTCTTTAGTTTTCTAAACAAATTTTAAAAATATTTGACATGCAGCCCTGGCCAGTGTGGTTTAGTGGTTAGAGTGTCAACCTACAAACAAAAGGGTTCTGAGTTCAATCTCCAGTCAAGGGTATGTACCTGGGTTGCAAGTCCCCACCCTAGTTGGGGCTCTTGCAGAGGCAACCAGTCAGTGTGTCTTCCTTACATCGATGTTTCTCTCTCTCTCTCTCTCTCTCTCTCTCTCTCTCTCTCTCCCTCTCTCCCTCTGTCCTGCCCTTCCACTCTTCCACGTTTTCTAAAAAAAAAAAAAAAAATCAATGAAAAAATATTCTCCGGTGAGGATTAACAAAAAATAAATAAAAATGTATACATGCATAATTGTATGCTAAAGTATTAAAATTTATGGAAATTTTTAAAAATATAATGTTTACTATTTCAAGGTTAGATCAATTTTTACCATATTAATTATCTTTTTGAAAAATTGTTTTAGTTCTGGCAAGATACTTAGCACTAAGTATATACACACACACTAGTAACGTATATATGTGTATATATGAATGTGTGTATATGCACACAATTTATTTAATAAACTAAATAAAAAAGTAAAGTGATCTTTGTTCAGTAATGAAAACTTTTACCATTCATTTCACATTGCTTAAAAGCAGGGAGAGAAGTGAAAGGCTGGAATACTATGCTTTGTTTGTTAGTTAAGAGTACTAAGCACTAAGTACTTATGGCAGTGGGAAGAAAAGGAGGCAGCTCAATCCCTTTTTCCTCAGAAGAAAGTGAGCCATGACTGAGCCCTTACTAGTGAACAGTCTTCCCAAAATTTACACACTTTTAGGGCATCAGAAGATGTTGTTCCTGCACAACACCTGATTCTACCAGACCTACGATACCCATCTCAAGCATCACTCTCCATTCACTCAGCCCTTTTCTTGCTGGAAATCCTGTCTAAGGATTAAAAAATACGTCAAAAGGGATTTGAAATTTAGTGAGCCTCTATTCTCCCCAAAGGCAGGCAGAATGCCTGATTATCCTGGGGGCGGGGCGGGTTGGAAGTCAGGGTGGAGAGATAGGTCATTAGCATGCTATTTTAGAACACCAAATCAATGCCTTTTGACAGAAAATATAATTTATTAACAATATATGGTTCTAAAGCAATGATAACTAATAGAAATATAATGTGAGCCACACATGTAATTTAAATTTTTCTTGTGGCCACATTTAAAGAAGTTAAAAAAAAAGAGCAAGTATAGTGGGTTTTAATAATAAACTTTATTTAACCTTACATAATGAAAATACAGTCATTTTAACGTGATCAATGTAAAAATTGTTAATGAGCCATTTATCTTTTTATTAATACCAAGTCTTTGAAATCCAGCGCATACTTATATCACATCTCATTTTGGATACTAAATTTTAATTATATATACTTGATCTGCATTTAAATTTCAATAAAATTTATAGTTAAAAAGAGTAGATTCAAAAAGGCAAGATGTTCCACACATACTTAAAAGATTTTTAATAACTAAATTGAGTCTCAGTTTTAAATTTAAATTAATTAAAATGAAATGTCATTTAATTTATACTACCCACATTTCAAGTACTCTGCAGTCCCATGTGTCTAGTAGTTTTTGTATTGGAAAACTATTTTCCAGAGGACTGTTGATCAATGTTACAATTCTGCTACCAAATGACTTATCTAGGCTGATATCAGAGCTCAACAATAAAGCATATAACTTTAAAATTTCAATGAGGAGATATGTCAAATCGTACCCCTCTGACTAAAATGACATTTTATAGAACAACATGTTTTTGAGAAATTATGGATGAAATATACAATGTCTAAATCTCCAAGCTGTGATATACATTGAAATATTTTTAATAATTTGATTCAGTGTACATGTTCTGTTGTACTCTACAAGAATTAACAGATCACAGCCATTCCCATTACAGGGTGAATGAAAAGCAATACATATATAAATAAATAAAAAATATTTGTAACATGCCTCTGTGAGAAAAACTATTAAAAGAATGACAATATAAGCTTCAGATTTGTAAGTCACATAGCTGATAAAGGATTTATATCCAAAATCTACTATAAAGAATTGTTAAAACTTAATAATAAGAAAACAAACAACTCAATTTAAAAATAAATAAAAGATATGAATGTCACCAAAAAGAAAATGTTTGGATGGCCAATAAGTAGATGGAAGGATTTTTAATATTGTTAGTTAAGAGAGATGCAAAATTAAAATCATAATGAGATACCATTAGACACCTATTAAAATGGATTTTTTTCATCTGACTATCAAATACTGGTGAGCATGCAGTCACAGGGACTCTCCTTCATTGCTGATGGAAATGAAAAAATGATACTGCCACTGTGGAAACCTGAGTGCTGATTTTTTAATATAGTTAAACATACACTTACCCTATGATCCAGCAATCCCACTCTTAGTTTTTTACCAAAGTGAAATTAAAACTTATTTTTACACAGAAGCCTATATGTAAATATTTATAGCATTTTTATCTGTAATTACCAAAATGTTCTTCAAATGGTGAATGTAGCATAGCTAAACAATGAAATACTGCTCAACTATAGAAAAGAAGCAATATTGATTCATGCAATATCATGTATACATCTTAAATGCATTTTGCTAAGTGAAAGAAGCAGACCCAAATTACTGAATATTCTGATTTCATACGTATTAAATTTTAGAATAGACAAAACATAATCTAGGAAACACATCAGTGGTTGCAGGGTTTCGATATTGGAAAGTTGACTCCAAAGCGGTAGCATGAGGAATTCTGGGGTTGATGGAGCTGTCTGTATGGTAATGTAGTGCTAGACAAATGCCTGTGCACTCATCAAAACCCATACAACTGTACAACACAAAGAGTTAAGTATAGAGTATGCAATTCAAAATAAGAAAACCATTAGGATGTTGGAATATCTCAAGATGGAACAGAAATTGTGACAAGTAAATCTACCAAATTACCAATGTAAGACATAAACTCACTGAAGGCCTGGGTGAGGGCAGGTGGTGGGAGGGTGGTGCGGAATGATCTAGCCTACGTAACTTTGAGAAACAGTTTTGACAGGACAAAGACTAAGAATAATGCTAAAGAGGAAAATAACCATACATAGACCTTGTACTCTATTTTGGTAGTTTATTTTATTTTTAATTGATTTTATTGGGGTGACATTGGTACACAAAACAGGTTTCAAGTGAACAACTTAATAAAACATCATCTGCACACTGCATCGTACACCCATAGCCCTAAGCAAAATCTCTTTCCATTCCCATTTTTCCTCCCTTGCCCACCTTTACCTATCCCCAGCCCACTTCGCCTCTGGCTATCATCACACTATTTTCTGTGTCTATGTGCTATACATATATGGGGTTGGTTTTTTTTTTTTTTTTTGCTTAATCCCTTCACCTTCTTTCATCCAGCCCTCCAACACCCCCCCTGTCTGACAGCTGTCAATCTGTTCCATGTACCCATGTCTCTGTTTCTATTTTGTTCATCAGTTTATTTTGTTCATTAAATTCCACATATAAGTGAAATCACATAGTATTTGTCCTTCATTGACTGGCTTATTTCACTTAACATAATAATCTCCAGGTCTATTTGTGCTGTCACAAAAGGTAAGATTTCCTTCTTTTTTATGGCTGAGTAGTCCACTCTGTAAATGTACCACAGCTTTTTTTATCCACTTGTCTACGTATGGGCACTTGGGATGCCTCCAAATCTTGGCTATTATAATAATGCTGCAATGAACACAGGGGTGCGTATATTCTTTTGAGTTAGTGTTTTGGGTTTCTTAAGATAAATTCCCAGAAGGGGAATCGCTGGGTCAAAAGGCAGTTCCATATTTAATTTCTTTGAGGAAATTTCATACTCTTTTCCACAGTGGCTGCATTCCCACCAACAACGCAGGAGGGTTCCTTTCTCCACAACTTGTTTGTTGATTTATTGATAATAACCATTCTGACTGTTGTGAGATAATATCTGCTTGTGGTTTTAATTTGCATCTCTCTGATGATTAATGACTTTGAGCATTTTCTCATATGTCTATTGGCCCTCTGTACATCCACTTTGGGGAAGTGTCTGTTCAGGTCCTTTGCCCATTTTTAAAATTTGGTTAATTGTCTTCTTGGTGTTGAGTAGTATAAGTTCTTTATATATTTTGGAAATGACCCCTTATCAGATGTATCATTGGAAAATATGTTCTTCCATTCAGTGGGCTCCCTTTTTATTTTGTTGATGGTTTCTTTTGCTTGTGCAGAATCTTTTGGTTTGATGCAGTTCTACTTGATAATATTTCTCACCGGTGTACAAATTATTAATTATGAAATTTCTTTGAATACATACTAGGGTGAAACACATAAATAAATACATTGTTAGTAATCAAAGTTACAAATAAGCAAAATGAAGTAGTTAAAATTAACCTTGTAATGCTACATAAGAGATGAAGACATCAATATGAACTCATTTTTATTTTAGTATACGTACAGATAGATACAAAATAAGGGCAGCTATGTATGCATAGATGGGTATATATACATTACATATATTAGCTCTACCTCTTGAAAGGTCCTAGAAGTAGTAACACCACTGTCACAGTGAGCACATCTCAAGTTGATTTATTTTCAAAATATTTTCCAATAAAAACATAACCAGGAAAAATGGCTGATTCAAGATGTAGGGCAA